GGAGTTAATGCTTTTTCTTCCTCATTTTGTCCTATATAAGGAGTCCACCCCATGTGGCGGGGGAAGACAAAGGTAACAACGCTTGAGCTATTATTGAATATTGAGCACATGATGCATCAATAGTTTTTAGACGTGAATTGGGCTAGCTCTTCGTAGTTCACCTTTCATATTTCTATAGGGCTTTACCCATTAAGTTGCATTGTCTACGGTAAATTTCTTAAATTTTCCCCTCTTTCTCTTTTTATATTTAGGTTGTTCATATATTATCCATAGTGGTTGTGCTAGTATATTGGCAACAAAAATTTAAATATAGCTTTTTTAATAAAAAATTACTGAAACATAGTCGTTTTGAATGTATTTACAAATATATAGCACTCAAACACGTCTCATAGGGGGCGTGACTGTTTAGAGAGAGACACACCCCACAGGGGGCGTGTTCTAAGAGAGAGACACGCCCCATAGGAGGCGTGTTTGATGAGAGACACATGCAGACTCTCTGAAAATTACAATAATGCGTCCAATCTCCTCATGGACCCATTCCAATCCATAACTCGAAAACTGCTCATCAGTGGTCGCAAAGTACAACATCTCCAGGCCATCGATCTAAAAATCACAATCATTAAAATGTAAGACCCTAAAATAACTATAATCAACACATAAATATTATAACTTAAATAACTTACTGCTCGTCCAATCCTCTCAGCCCTCCTCACTACGAACTGCTTGCCTTTATGCCTGTACCAGTCCAGGTACTCATGGTTCGGGGACATCAAGCCCACTAATACAGGGGAACACATATGGAAGTCTCCCTGATCATCCATCTATGTATGAATGGCCTCAATTTACGTTCCCAATTTTCATATTTTTTCCCTCGAAGGGTCGTATCATGAACACCCTTGAGCTTTCTCGGTTTGCCTGGTATGGGCTGGTCGAAACCAAATTGTCGCACACATCTATCTGGTGACAATACTCAACCGTATGGAAACAAATAATAGGAGTAATGGCCAACCACAAATACCGCTCATGATCAGATACTTGCAATGATGTATAGTACTCTTCGTATGGTTGCCAAACCACCTACACAAAAACAAACAAACATACAATCAGTACATACTAAAAAAGTAACAATTTAATTTGGCATTAATAAATATTTAACACTCCTCATTTCTATATAGCGTGTCTAGGTTTTCCCAATACCAAGATTGCTCATGTGGTCGGGAGGGGGCTAAAGAATTAAACTTGATTTTCAAATTTAACATAAAAATTAATTATCCAATTAATGAACAGGTAATGAATAAGGCAATACAAACAACATATACCTGTGTCCAAAATGCCACCTTGGCTTGGTAGGCTGAGGAAGAGGTGAAGCAATAAGGGGAATCTGATCCAAGCCCAGATTTGAAGCAATATGTGGCAACCACCCATGTTTGTCTTGTGCGGGTCTGTACACATGCATAACTGCCTAAATAGATGGGCGAGAATCGCAGAGCCCCAACTATATCTGCCAATGTCCTCAAACTCCCCTCCAAGCAATGGAACATAATGACAAGCAATCTTGCTACCACCTGATCTCTCACAGAGTAGCCATGGCATTAATAATCGCAAAATGTGCGCCCTAGTATAACGCCTCACCTCCTCAGGATCCTGGGCAACTGGACCCCAATGGGCATACAATCTATGCAGGTATGAAATACGTAGATCGCCACCAAATATGTCTTCGCCAGCAATGAGCGCATGAACAAAATCCTGCTGACCCTTGACGGACCAATCCAAAGCGGTATGTTCAGTAACTACTTGCGGTATGTTCAGTAACTACTTGCCCATCAGTAGACAAACCAAGTATACCAGCCACGTCCTGTAATGTGATCATTATCTCTCCCTGCATCATATCAAACGTATGTGTCTTTGGTCTCCACCTCTCGACCAAAGCACTAATAAGGGCGCCATCCATCTAAAAATACAAACAACAATTGTCAATTCATATGTAACCACTTCAATAAAAATTAGTGTAATTACAATCTGGTTTATTACTTTCTAAATTACATACTTGAATATGACACATACACGCCACATGTATGAAACCAGTCTGTGTGAGGTAGTCGGCCACAACGTCTGGAATATCATCATGACAGGGTCCACCCTGTAGTTTTCCTCGTCAAGTCTTCAATCCTCTAACCTTATCCTCATTCCACACGGTCTGTGAAACGTGGGCGCGCTGTGTCCTCTTCCGAAGTACCTCTCACCTATACGGTCCAGGAAGTACATGTGTACAGGGATTGGAAGGCTCGGCCTCACCATCAGATGCAGACCACGACGACTCAAATGAAGACGAATAAGTCATAACAGAATACTATTACAAAAAATAAATTGTTTATTATAATTAAAATTAAATTAAATTACAGTAAATTGAATTGAATTAAATTAAATTATATTGTATTATATAAAATAAATATTGCCTACACTAATATTTTAAAAAATAAAATTAAAATGTATTTTTTATTTAAAAAAGTATATGTTTATATATTACAATCCTATATAATTGTATTAGGTCACTAATCATACCTTACGTCACTAATTAATTTATGAGTCACTAACCATTTTCTAACCTAAGCCACTAACCATTTTCTAAGCTACTAATATAAAATATCTATTGCCGTAATTAAAAAATAAAAAGTAGATATTGGGACTTACTTGAGTGACAAAGTTTTGCTGTGCAAAAAGCTGAAGACGAAATCTAGAGAGAAGTCAGATGTTATTTTTAGAGAGAAGGTGTGAAGGGAGAAAAATAAAAAAGTGGGATATATATAGGTCACGCTTCCTGTGGGGCGTGTCTCTCTCATCAAACATGCCTCCTGTGGGGCGTGTCTCTCTCCTAGAACACGCCCCCCTCTAAGACGTGTCTCTCTCCAAACGGTCACTCCCTCTATGGAGCGTGTTTGAGTGCTATACATTTATAAATACATTCAAAATGATTACATTTCTGTAATTTTTTATTAAAAAAGCAATATTTAAATTTTTTTATCTAGTATATTAGAAATTTTTGTTTTAGACAACGTGTTTTACTAAGAAAATTAGAAAAAGAAAAGAAAAGAAGAAGAGATATTTATTCTAGTATTTTAAGTTCAGCATAAAAAAAGAAAGATATAAAATTATCCTATTATTAATAGAGTATTTTTATGTCCACATGGAGGAGTTAATGCTCTTTCTTCCTCATTTTGTACTATATAAGGAGTCCATCCCATGTGGTGGAAAATAAATTTTCTGGTCCCCTTCTCTCTCCTCCTTCTTTCTTTCTCTTTTATCTCTCCTCTCTCTTCCCCTCTCTCTCTCTTGCTCGGTGCATTGGTCATTGGTCCAGGAGTGTGGAATATTTGCTCCATGTGGTGGGAGAAGACAAAACTAACAACGCTTGAGTTATTATTGAATATTGAGCACGTGATACACCAATATTTTTTAGACGTGAATTGGAGTACCTCTTCGTAGTTCAACTTTCATATTTCTATAGAACTTTGCACATTAAGTTGCATTGTCTAAGATAATTTTCTTAATTTTCCCACTGTCTTTCTCTTTTTATACGTATGTTGTTCATTTAAGGAAGGTAAGTTATATTTTTGACTTTTCGTTATCAAGCGTTATATGTTTCATAAGGCTATATATATAAACATGCTATCTTATGAAGTGGGGGTTAAATTTGAAAATAAAAAACATTAAAAAACACCTCAGATATGGTTTAGTATTTATAATTAGGTTAATATTTAAAAATTTATTAATAATTTGAATTCCCTGTGACAATCAACCACGACATGACACTACCAACTACAGTATGGTTTAGTTTGTCGTAATTCATTACTTGTCGTCAGTTTATCAGTTATACAAGACACCTCAGATATACATGCAAAGGGTTGAATGCCAAAAAAATGAAATTATACATAAGAGGGCCCATTCGTTATTCCCTCCCTTATGAAGAATACACCATTAATAAATATAACTATTATTATTGGAGGTATTAATATAGACACACCTATCCTTAGTGGTTGTACATTTGGACTCACCTCACACATTGGAACATTATTAAATGTCAATATATTGTGGGAAATCGAACTGACGACACCTGTCTGCTCTTTATTTAATAACATACTTAATATTTCAAAATAGTCTTGTCAAGCATGTCTAGGGGAACGAGGCCATCATTCATAGGCTAAATTAGACCAATCACATTAAGTAAAATCAATAGAGAAAAGTCTACCAATGTCCCTGTAGTTTGCTTCAGAATTATCTATACTTCTGTGGTTTTTATTTGATCACATATGCTCATGAGCTTTGTAAAAAATAAAAAACTACGGGAAAATATGTGATAAAAAACATACCGTTTTGCAAACCACAGGAACATATGTGATAGAAAAAAACCACAGAGATATATGTGATAGAAAAAAACCACAGGGACATAAGTGATTCTGAAGCAAACCACAGGGACATTGGTGAACTTTTCCCAAATCAATATTACGAATAACCCAAAAGCTTAAGATATTGGATTCAGAAATTATTTTATTTATATGAACTTCACTTATCATATTACTAATCAATGTGAGACTCGTCATACTTCAATAAAACAGATGTAAACAAGTGTGTGCAAAAAGAGTCTCACGTATAACTTGAAATTCTATTAAAATGTGCTTGAAGTGGGTCCTTTGAATAGCTCTTCCAAATTTTGTTAAAGTAAGGCTTTTACGCTACATTACAATCACCATTGCAAATAATTCACACATGACTTCATCTGACCTTTATCTAAAAGGTAAAAATAAAATAAAATGATTTCACTCAAAATCATGGATTCATGTGTGCCAATTATTTACAGTTATGACATAATATTGCATAGCAGCAATTTTTATTTTTTATTATTATTTTTTTTTGAATTTGATAATATATAACGTCACAAGGGTCTAAATTCCACTATAAATACAGGCTTTGTGAAGAGGGTAGAGATGCAGAGTAATCAGTTTGTAGGGAAAATTCCATCTTCAAATTCTGTTTCCATGGCTCCTGTACCTATTTCTCCTCCCATCAAAGTTGGGCACATTGATGATGTCCAAGAACTAAGAAAAACTAAGCCAAGGACAATTCCTCAAAGATTTGTACGAGACATGACTGAAAGACCAACACTTGATACATCTTTTTCTTCACCATACAGTGACATCATGCCTATCATTGACTTCTCTAAGCTTAGTAAAGGGAACAAAGAGGAAGTCTTCAATGAACTTTTCAAGCTTGCATCTGCTTGTGAGGAGTGGGGATTTTTTCAGGTAAATACCACTTGATTTTTACACTATTGTTATTTGTTTTTTTTAACTGTTTAGACTTTCATTATCCTACCACAGTTACATGGATTTTTGAAAACATAAGCCTTCATGTAAACTAAATTTTTGGTATTGTCATTAGGTAATTAATCATGAGGTTGACCAAAATCTGTTGGAGACCATAGAGGATATGAGCAAGGAGTTTTTCATGCTACCTTTGGAAGAGAAACAGAAATACCCTATGGCACCAGGTACAGTTCAAGGGTATGGACAAGCTTTTGTTTTCTCAGAGGATCAAAAGCTGGATTGGTGCAACATGTTTGCTCTTGGAATTGAACCTCAATATGTTAGGAATCCAAATCTATGGCCAACGAGGCCAGCAAGATTCAGGTAACATAAATAATTTTTTTCTTCATTTAGTCCCCCATGTTTTTTGATTAGTTAAAAAGATAAAAATATTCTCATGCAGTGAAACTGTGGAAGTGTACTCAAGAGAAATAAGGAAACTATGCCAGAATATGCTCAAATACATAGCTTTAGGACTGGGCTTGAAAGGGGATGTATTTGAGAAGATGTTTGATGTAGCAGTGCAAGCCTTAAGGATGAATTACTACCCAACATGTTCAAGACCTGACCTTGTTTTGGGTCTGAGCCCACATTCAGATGGTAGTGCACTCACTGTGTTGCAGCAAGCAAAGGGAAGCCCAGTGGGACTTCAAATACTCAAGGACAATACATGGGTGTCTGTTCAACCAATTCCAAATGCTCTTGTCATCAACATTGGAGACACAATAGAAGTAAGACCACTCTACTTTTCTCTTTTCTTTCTCATAAACAACTTCTTTACAATTATGTACGGGTAAGGCTCCGTACAAAGATTGTCTCCACTCCACACTCGCTAGTCGAGTTTAACGGAGAGTGATTTTTGTTTTTTTTTTTTGTGTATTGGAATTTGAGTTACTTAATAGGTAGCTCATTCTTAGTCTATCTTCTTTTTCATGTTTTTTTTGTTTTCTCTTCTGAATTTGATTCTAATTTGCATTATGCAGGTTCTTACAAATGGAAAATACAGGAGTGTGGAGCATAGAGCTGTGGCTCATAAGGAGAAAGATCGACTATCAATTGTGACATTTTATGCTCCTAGCTATGAAGTAGAGCTTGGTCCAATGTCAGAATTTGTGGATGAAAATCACCCATGCAAGTATAGAAGATACAATCATGGAGAGTACAGTAAACACTATGTAACAAACAAGTTACAAGGAAAAAAGACCCTGGACTTTGCCAAGATTCAAATAAAAAACACAAACTAGGAAGGCCAACTCAGCTCCCCTACTAGCTAAGAGTACTATAGTTAGACTATCTGTCTATAAATATGAACCATATAAAAGTATCAAGGTCAAGCTTCTCAATTCTTTTTATTGAAAAATAGGCAAAAACAATTAGTTGGGTGATGTATAAGAGAGTGATTGTGGGTCACATACAGAAGACTCACTGTTCTTGTTCTAGACATGTATAACGTGTATATGTTATCTTTCAATGCAAACTAATGATAATATATTTTATAAGCTTTATTACCAATTTGTGTTGGAATTTGGAAATTAATGGTCTAAGGCATCGTTTAAAGAATAACATAGAAAAAAGAAAGCGATTTATACTTCTTTTTTTCATATGAGAAGTTAATCTCATGCTGCCTCTCACGTCAATAAATGAGTTATGCTTTTTCTTTAAAAAATATGGTGGGGCCCTTTTTTTTTTTTTTTTTTTTGTCAGCAGGAAGCAATTTCTTTCTCCAACTGCAGGAGTATTATAAATTCCAAAAAGAAAATTGTATCTTATTATTTGTTAAAAAGAATTATTTATCTGATGTAGTATGAGAGAAGTTATCTCATGTTAAGAGATAAATAAAGTGGGTTCTACTAATTTTTAGAAAAAAGAAAGAAAAAGAAACACATATTTCGAAGTGAGAATAACATGAAAGATCAATCTCATGTAACATAAGAGTATGATTTTCCTTTATTAAAATAGTATAAGTAGATAAAAGCATTATAGTAAATTTTGCTTTATTTTTTTACACTAAAATATTTTGTCTTGTGCTCATCAAACACCTTATAACACAAAGTTATGGCGTGACTCAATACTATTTTATTTGTGCTGTCACTAAACGCAACCTAAATCTCATAAAAATCTAATAAAAAAGTAGAATTAAATGACAGTGTTACTGTTCTGACTATAATATTTTTTAGAGGAAAAGAAGCAAGCAATCATGTGGAGCACTTCCACAAAAATATTTAATTAAAGAGTAAAACAGGAAGGGGACAAAATCATTAGTTGTTTTATAGTTCTTAAGGGGAGAGCTTTTTCTCTGTGATCAAAGAGAAGTGAGGCCCACAGGTCATTTATGAATGTTTTAGTTGTTCATATAATTGGAGGAGTGAAGCAACAACAGAGCAAGTTGTGATGGTTCATAGTGATTCTGAGCTGAAATGATATTGAGTGCTACGATCAACAATAATTAAACAAGCTAATTAAAGCAAAGCTTATTTTTCGAACATGCTATTACAAGTGAGTCACACAGGGAAAAGTATGTACTTTAATTGATGATGAAAAACAAGGAGATCAAGTAATTCAAGCTAGCAAAGATGGACGGTACTTCAGTCAAAAACATAAAGGAAGGTGACTGATGAGCTAAACAACTTACACAGAATGTGTACAGAGCAGATATTTGAGGCATAAAAAGCTGCCCAATAAATGTGCAACAAGCAAGTTCAATGAACTTGGTGGGAAGAAGAAATATCAACAAAGATAAAAAAAGCCTTTTCAGTCTTTGAATGTGATACATTTCCTGAGAACCACCATGAAGCAAAGAGGTTGTAGTTGTACCTCTATGCCCCTAGTTCAACCAAAACCAGCTGCCATAATCATAATCACACAATTCAAATTAATATTAATATTAAGGGTGTGATTTTTCCACCAAATAAATTTTTTTTTTTGTAGCAACCGATTACAACTATGTATTACAAGTAATACATAATTATAATAATAAAATTATTTTTTTTTCTCTCTCCAGACATTGTTTGTAACGCCTGGCAACTTGCAAGGATTAACGACTGTCCCCACACACTAACACGAGACTTTTCAGCGTGCTTTGTCCTCACTCGCACACTTCCCGGGAAAACTTCCCAGGAGGTCACCCATCCCAGAATTGCTCCAAGTCAAGCACGCTTAACTGTGGAGTTCTTCCGTTCCGGGCTACCGAAAAGTAGATGCATCTTGTTAGTATAGGTAGTACCAATTAATTCTTATAAGTCATTCCCAACTGTACCGTCCCATACCAGCACAGTCTCTGGAATCCCTCTCTTTCGGGTGTTGATTCGATTCATTCATGTACCCCCGTCCCTAGAAGCCTGCCAGGAGCCGTTCATTGTCCATGCCCTTTCACACCGGCGATCACTCCCCGCCCTCGTCAGCGCCTGGGATGTTACATTGTTGGCTAACGTAGCAGAGTAAGAATTTTTTTATTTTTTTTTTACCGTTATAACTATGGATTACCGTAGTACATAGTTAAAATCGATTGCTGTACAAATTTTTTTCTGTGGTGAAAGGAGAAATATATTTCCCTAATATTAATCCACTCCCCATTTAATCCCAACTAGTGAGGGAGAATCATACAATTCAAATCATCTATATAAAAATTAAACCCCATTTTTTGTATAATCAAATGTCATGTTAAGTGATTTTAAACTTAAAAATACAGTTAAACATGTGTCTGTGTTATAATCAAGTTCATATTAACAACATGCATGGCTTAAAAAAGAACTTTGCAGTTAAGATTGTCATTTTGAATACGAAATTCTAAGGCAAAAGGACGAGACCAAGAAAAGGGTCCTCATTTTTAAAACCAAAATTTCATTATCAGCTAAACTGGGGAAGTAACTGTAACCAACACGTTGGTCATACAATTTTACGAAACGTGGAAGCCACCAAGGATTTTTTATTGTTTTTACCCCCTTAAATTGACATGAGGAAATCATTTAAATTTGACTTGAAGGCATCACCCCATATATACATGAATAACGTGGAAATAATAGCAATGCTTACCTTAACCTATGGATGCAGACTTTATGTTGACAACCCACTAAAAAATAACTGAGTGCTCACGTAAGGTATTTTTCTTCCTAGATTCTCAACGTGCTACTACTTTGATAACTCTATTTTGAGCAAGAGTGTCATTGAGACCTAACTAAGTTTGAGGAATATGACCTTTGCAACTACAAGTGGACGGGTCCCATCGTGCAACTTTGAGGAAATTTGTACGTCAAATAAGCCAACAATGATGAAATAATTTACAGCACGAGAGATTTTAGACCAAGTTCAACGGTTGGGAAGATTTTAGACCAATGTTTGGTAAGTTTGTTCAAGTTCAAAATCACGAGGAGTGACATAGTTGATAAGCGGACTAATCTTTAATAAGATAACGGATACGATCGAAGATTTTTTTTTTTTTTTTTAAAGATATTTCAATCTGTTCATCGCTTCGTGATTAATGCGATTCAGGGCGCGAGTCTTGCGATTAAAGTTTTAAATTCTTCCAAAATATGATACAGGAATGATCGAACACATGCTTTTACGACCTACTCAGTTTCCTGACGCCAACTGAACTACCATCTTTTAGTAGAATTGAAAGGTTTTGATTTGATTCCTAGACAAAACAATTTGAGACCAGTTAACTTTTATATTTTACGAGATAAAAGGAATTAATCTGATTCAAATGGATGAGACGCCATTGAAAAACCAAAAAAGTTTGTTCAAGTTCAAAACATTAATTGAATTTGAACCACTTTCTAGCCATCTTCACTTGCACTAAAATGACAAATGATTCTTTTCGATCTCTTCTCCACCTCTTTGTGTTCCCTACAATTTCGGTAGTATTTCTAATATGGCTTCTCGTAATAAATTTAAGGGCTTTGAGAATTACAGTTTAGACCTTTGGGAGATCATCTTTCATGGTGAAAATTATTTATAAATGTTGATTAAAACACAGCACCATGTTAAATATATATTCATATTATTAAAGTTGACTCCTGCATATATATAATTTCGCATAGATGTAGTATATACCCTAGAATTATAACCTTTCATGTTTTATGGAACTTCAATATAATAATCATAGCCTGTGTATTTATAAAGTTAGTATGGGATTAAATATTTAATCATGTATTATTGGGTTTAATTAAGTAAAGGACTTAAGTAAAAGAATTAAAGTCACTTTTGGTCTAAAAGTGTAGTGAGTGAGATTTTTGGGATAAAAATATATGTAGGCAAAATTATCCGGAATGTAAAAGTAAATTGATAAATATTACGGTAAAAATATCCTAAACCAATAGGATAAGTTCGAAAGAGAGTGAAGGTAAAGAGAGATATAAATTTTTACCAGTTAGATGTTACAACACTTTTAAAACACTTCTCACTCATTCTCCACCCAAAATCCTCTTCTCTTTCGTTCTCTTTCTCTCCGCATATCCGAACCACCATTGAAGAGGAAGCCAAAAATCTAACTTCTCTATTTCTTGATGAAATCTCTTGGTTCTTGAACCAATATTGCTTAGAATTGTGAGGCAAACACAACCCCTAATTCATAATCTACCAAAAATCTTGTATAGAGAGAAAAATAGAGGTGAAGTGACGACCCACTTGTGATTGAGAGGCTAAGAGGGTGATTTGATCTACTTGGAGGCTTGCAATCCCTTCTTTGTATGAGTCTAGGTGAGTTAATGTTTAAAAATCCCAATTTCTTTGTAGTTTATGATGTTGGGTATATTAGGGTTCCATTTCAATATATGCTTGTATGGTGGGCTAGTCTAGAGGTTGATTGAGGCTTAAATCCTTTATAAAAGTTGTTAAGAATGACAATAAATGGTAGAAATCTATGAAGCACCGATACTCCGAATTTATTTTTCAACGTATCCGATACGCGTATCGGAAACGTATCAGAAACGTATTGTATCGTATCGACGAATTAACGGTCGTATCGAGAACGTATCGGAAACGTATCGAAAATGCCGTGTCGGAGTCGGTGCTTCATAGGTAGAAATGAACTTAGATGGTCATTTGATTATACTATGAAAATTGCAAGAATCTATGCTTGGTTTATGGATTTTCTTGCATTCGTAAACCATGGTTTGGTTGGATATTGATTGTGTCCATGTGATAGCTAGGATTGAGGCAAATGGACCAACATTGAGTGACCAACCATTGGTGGAAGATATGTAGCTTGAGTAGCCTACTTGAATAGGTAAGTTCATGCCTAGTTTTGACATGAATTGTTGTGTTGTTTATGGATATATTGATATTTATTAACTTGTATTGATTGATTTGTGACATCTTTGTGTAGGTGTGTATTTTGTTAGTTTGTAGCTTGAATTCAAAGCTTGATTGTGGAACTTGGTGAATGAAAAAGGT